CGTTGTCAGCGTCGCAATGTCTGCGTATGGTCGCGTCGCCGAGAGAGGAAGGCCATGTTTGAACTTGCAGCCTCGAGCAGCAGCATTTCGGTTGATCCATGCTGTGTGGTTGTCTCTTTTTTCACTACTGCCGCCAGATGTGCCCCGACTCTCGTGTAGCACTTGTTTTTGTCGGAGTGTGGAGTAAGGAAGGTCATGCCGCTGTCATGCCAGAAATCATATGGAGGAGCACTGGCTCATCGTGTATGGCGCCGGTCGTGAAACAGAATGCTTGCCGTGCAGGAGCAGGAACGCCCTGGCGCGGCCGGGCCCGGCCCCCCGGGCCCGGCCCGGGCCTGGAAGGGGGGGCCATGTATTCTCCCCGCCTCTTCGTCTCTTTCAGCCCCCCCCCCCCTTGGCACCTCCCCCCCATGTGGACGTGTGGGAGGGAGGGAGGGGAGGAACGAAGGAGGAGGAGGAGGAGGCGGAGGAGGAGGAGGAAAGGGAGGAGGAGGAGGAAGAGGAGGCGGAGGCGGAGGCGGAGGAGGAGGAGGAGGAGGAGGAGGAGGAGGCGGAGAAGGAGGAGGAGGAAAGGGAGGAGGAGGAGGAGGAGGAGGAGGAGGCGGAAGAGGAGGAGGAGGGGGGAGGCTGAGGATGCGAAGTCAGCCCCCCATCCTCACCACCTGCGTGCGCTTCCGCCGCGCCCGCCGCGCGCAAGGCGTCCCCGAGGGTGCGGCCCGGGGGGAGGGGTTCCGCAGGGGGCTCCAGGCCAGGCCGCCCCCTGCCCTCCTCCGCGCGCAGTGGGGGGCAGCAGCATAGCCATACACTCTTGGCGCTCCGCACGGGTTTCTTGGATCCGCGCTGGGCCCCCTTGGCGGCGCCGCCCCTGGCGCTGTCCGCGTGCTAGGGAGGGGGTTCTAGCCCAGATCCAAGGAATCCGCCCAGACCTCCCAAAGTTCATGTTTCGTTTTTTCTTCTTCTACAGATGAGGGTCGGAGTAGGCGAGGCCCGGAGGATCGCGCCGCATTGGCGATGCATCGGTGACGTTGGCGTGGAGAAGATCAGGCTCCGCATCGAGCCGCATCGCCGATGCATCGGCGATGCGGCGCGATCCTCCGACCCAATCTGCTCCGACCCCATCCAGGAGACCTAGATGAATGCAAAGCTCTGAGATCCTTGCGCCGCAGCCTTTGCACCACGGCCGATTTCGGGCACGAGACCACAGACCGATCCGGTTCGAAACACTCAGCGGAGAGATGGGGTCCATGGGACTGCGGTCGTGATTCTCGCGACGTGCATTTTGTTGCAACGTCGTGTGGGGAGGGGAGGGGAGGGGGGATCAACGCAGGAAGATCGAGGAATGAGCTACTGTCGGAGCTCCGCGCGGATTTCTTGGATCGGCGCTGGGCCCCCCTGGCGGCGCCTCTGGCGCCGCCCCGCCGCACTCCGTGCTCCAGAGAGGGGGTTCCAGCGCCGATCCATGAAATCTCCACAAGTTCATGCCAACTATGTTTTTCTTCCATCAGGAGGGAAGAGGAGGGGGTATCGGAGGAGGAAGAAGTGCCGATAGTCAGGATGCATGCCGGGAGAGGTCAGGGAAGTAGCAGTATCGTCACCTTTCTGTTTCGTCGGGAGAAGGGGAGAGGGGAGATTGATGAGGGAGGGAGGGGGGGAGAGGGGATGCAGGGAGATCGAGGATGGTACAGGAGGACAAGGGGGAAGAGAGTAGGGAGGGAGGGAGGGAGGGAGGGAGGGAGGAGGCGGAGGATAATAAGCTATGATGACGTTGCCTCTGATGATGGTGGTGATGACGACTATGGTGCTGCTGATGCTGCTGATGATGATGGTGGTGACGATGCTGCTGCTGATGCTGATGACGATGATCACGAAGATGGTGACGACGACCATCATGATGACAATGGTGTTGTTGATGATGATGATGATGTTGATGGTGATGATGATACTGATGCTGCTGCTGCTGCTGCTGCTGCTGATGATGATGATGATGATGATGATGATGATGCTGATGATGATGATGATGCTGTTGCTGATTAGTATGATGATTTTGATGGTGGTGGTGCTTGTGGTGGTGATGATGATGGTGCTGCTGCTGTGTCCCTGCCCCTCTCCCCGTCTCTGCCCTTCCCCTCCAGGGAACACCAGTTGTTTTCGAAGCCGGCCGTAGGACATGCGAACTTCGTTGTAGAGGGCGGGGGGGCTGATAGACAGGGCTTGCCCTCGTTATCATGTCCCATGTGCAGGCCTCGAGTTGGGGTTCTAATCTGCGCCCGCTCGTTGACTTGGAAGCTCGGTCAGTGATCCGCATCCTCCTCGTTCTCCTCCCTCTTCCCTGTTTCTGGAGCAGGATGAGGGGGGGAAAGGAGGGATAGGTGTCGGAAACAATCCAGCAACACTCACACAGCGCGGTTGAACGCAATCTGGATGATCCGGGGTGCACAAGCCAGCGCTGAACTTTCGGAGGCAGGGGGCGAAGGGGCTGGGTGTTGCTCAACTGTCTCTGGGAGGGCTTGGGTTGGAAAGATAAGACGACGAGGAGGTTTCTGAGTTGTTCTCCGGCTTCCTGGAGTTTTTTTCGCTGCCCTGCGGCGGCGGTTTCCCAGCAGTCGCGTCCCCGCGCGGGGGGCTCTCGGCGCTGGGGCTGCACTCTCTCCGATGTCCCCGGTCAAAACGCACGCCAGGGTATAGTTCGGGACCTCTAGAGGGAGGAGGAGGATCCGGATTCCGGGCGCCGCGAGGAACAAAATCACCACGCGGCGTCTGGTTCGCCCCTGTGGGCCCCCTGGTGTGGGGGGGGGCGTGCTCGGGCCCGATGGCCCTGAAAGAGCGGCCAGTGACGACAAAGTCTGCCCCGGGGCAGGGCCGAGAGCTCTGGGGCCCATGTCTCAAAACCCAAAGCCGAGGTCAGCGCTTTGGGATTCCTCTTCGGAAGGTTTCGGAGGATTCTGGGCTCTCTCCAGAAGCCTTGGGAGGGGTCCGGAGGTTCCCTCAGCTCTTCCGAAGGTTTCAGGCGTTTCGGGACGGCTCCGCAGGGCAGCCTCGAAGCTCGTGGAGGAGGGGCGGATGGGAAGTGGAGGAAGGGGGGGAAGGGAAGCGAAGAGAGAGGGAAGGATCAGAGGGGGGAAGGGAGTTGGGGAGGGGACGGGATGGGGAGGGCAGGTGCGAAGCGAGGAGGGGAGGAGAGGGGGCAGAGGGAACGGAGAGGGGACCTGTCTCGAGACGAGGGGCTGTAGCAGGAGTGGGTGCCCACCTCCTCTCCTCATCCTTCTCTGGTTCCTCATCCATCCCCGATCTCCACTCCTGAATCTCTGATGTTGCCGTCTCCGAAGGCCTTCTGGCGGCACCGTTGGCAAGTCATCTAAGAGTCTCGGGGCTATCTTTGGGCGGTTTTGGGCTGCCTTGGGGGCGGTCATTTGGCTTTCCAGGACCACTGGGAAGCTGTCGTACGCGGTCGCGGGGCAATCCTGAAGCATTTATGTATTTATATATGCTGGCAGTGGGCCTCTCAGGGGCCTGCCGAGGAGCCTTTGGGATGCCTCTTCGATGCTTGTTAAAGACAGGCGCTTGGGAAACTTGGAGTCGCTGTAAGCCTCTCGCGACCGACTGAAGAGTGTCTCGGGGCAGACCGCAAGAGTGCTGTGTAGTCGTAGTGGTACGTCTTGCAGGGACATTGTGCCATCTTCGAGCTGTCTTGTGCCGTCTTCATGGCGCCCTCGAGCGGTTCGGCGAGGCCTCTTAAGGTACCCTCCGCGCAGCGTAGGCAGTACCACATCTTACCTGTCATCAGGGAAGCAGGCCCTGGTCACTTGGCCCGAGCTGGCGAGAGGTCTTGGGGGCGCACTGTCTTCGAGCACTGTTGATCTGTGTTCCTTGTGATTTGCAACTCTCAGATCGCAGGGCATGCTCAGGAACGTGCATTATCTATGGATGTAGAGGTCGTGGGTGTTCGGGCGCTCTGCACCATACTTGCTTTGCCTTGGAGTCGAGTCGGACAGGGCGCAGCAGGAGCCCGTGGAGGGTGCCCATCTTGGGACAGACGCGCCAGAAACTTGCAATATCAGCTGCCAATACCTCATCTTCGGCTGACGCGCCGTGCCCGAAGACTGTGCCCCGATCACCACGCTCGCAGCTCAGGTCTTCACCTTGAAAGCGTCCTCGACGCACTGGTCGGGTGTTCGTAATGAGGGAGGCGGTTCGTATTTTTCGTTTGGGGGAATTGAGGATTGCTGGACAGGAGCCCTAAAAGAAGCCCTGCATGGGGCCCTGTGGCCCTGAAGGTCTGGGAATTTTGTTACTATTTAGCGCGTTTGCACGCCCTGCTTCAAAGTCGCACAGTCGTTTGGACGCGGTGCTTTATTCGCTCAAGGATTGCGCTAGGCGCTGTGCGCGTGACGCGAATGAGTTCAGGCATGCCCAGGTAGGGCAGAATAAGCTCGTAACCTTGGCTGGAGCCGTGCCCAAAACGATAAGCATGAGGCGGTTGTTGATGTGGTGACAGCGTCATCGATGACGATGAGCACGATTATGATGTTGCCGACGATGATGCTAATGATGCTGAGGACGACGGTCAATTTGAACATGCAGATGGCGATGCTTCCGACGATGATGTCACAGGATCTACGGTGTTGACGGAAAATGACGGTGATGAAGACCGGGACCCCATTGGACCTGAGCCCGTGGCCGAATTGCTTTTGGCTGTGGTCATGACGGCCATCCCAGCTTCCAGCTAGCAGCACCCATGCGGAGCCGCCCCCCCAGGCCGATCGAAGCCGTCGTGGCCTCTGGATTTCCAGGATTCCCTGGACCCCTGCCTCGAACACCTCCCCCTTCCCCCCCCCGCAGGCCTCTTGGCTCGAGGCCCCTCTGGGGCCCAGATCTCCCCACCCCTCTCTGCAAAAGACATACTGCCAGCGAACATGCTCCGGGCGCGGGCACCAGGCGCCACCGCGGGCGCGGCCCCGCGCGGGCGCGGCCGAGCCATGTAGGCGCGGCCGCGCGGCCGCATGCGGGCGGCGGGCGCCTCGTGTGCGCGGTGGGCGGGCGGGGCGCCCTGGGCCGCCGCGCTCCTGGGCGCGGCCGCCGCCCTCGTGGCCGCCGCCCTCGCGGCCGCCAGGGCTGCGGCGGGGGGCGGGGCCGAGCGCTGCGCGCAGGCAGTGGGCCCGGATGCGGAGTGCCCCGCGGCGCTGGCCGCGCCCCTCGGGGGCGACTGGCGCCGGGCCGTGGTGCCAGGCGCTTTCCCGCCGGTGGTCATGCAGGCCCTGTTGGACCTGGCGCCCGACGCGGTGGTCCTGGGCGACGGGTATGGCAGCAACAACGTGAAGCCGTTGTCTGCCTCGGAGTTCTTCGGGGGCGCCAGCCCCTCCTCCGCAGCGGAGTGGGCCGCATCGCAGCCGGAGGGTGACCAGCGGGCGAAGGCGGTGGCCTGGGCGCGGACGTACGTCGGAGTGGCGCGCAAGATGAAGCAGCTGGTCGAGGCGCGGCTGAGTCCCAGCGCCCCGCTGAGCTTCGACTTCATCCACCTGTCGTGTCGGGAGCGCGACGAGACGGTGTTGCACGATGGCCGAGATAGTCACCCGGAGCATGCTGACAACTGCTACCTGAATCAGACGGAGTGCGTGCGCGACGCCTCCGCCCGCCACTGGAGGAGCCACACGGCCCACGTGTACCTGCACGGCCCCGAGGGCGGGGACTTCGAGGGGGGAGACTTCTCTTTCTTTCTTCTCCTGGGCGGATGGTACCAGTTTTTTTTTCACGAACCAACTAAAACTACCACAAGTAAGGAACGTGGCAAAAGAAGGGAAGGATGGGAAGTCCCTCCCGCTCCTCCTCACCCCCCTCCCCCCTCCCCCTCCTCCTCTCGCATGCTGCCTCCACCTCCTCTCGCTCGCTCCCTCCTACCTCCTCCTCCGCCCTCCTTCCAGATCAGAACGCCCCCCCCTCGTCTAAACGACCAAGGACCTCCTCCCTCACTCCCATCTCCTCGCCCACACCCTCAGACTCTCAACAAATCTCTACCTCCTCCCTCACTCCTCTCCTACCCCTCCCTTTTTCTCCCTTCTCCTAGCCTCCTCCTCACTCATACCACCGCGGAGGACTACCTTGCGCCACCTCCACCCGCCCTACCCCATCGAATTCGCACCCGGAACTCACAATCTCCTACCCCGCGCTCCGCACGACCGACCTCCCCCGTCGCCGCTACTCCTCCTTACTTCCTCTCCCTCCCCACGCCGAACATTCCGGACATACCCATGTTCTCCCCTCCCTGTGGGGCCCACCTCCTCGCCTAGCTTGCGGCCACGTCTTGAGGGACAAAGCCCCCGCCCTGCGCAGTTGCGACGGTCCAGAGACACAGCGGCGAAGAGCGCGGCGGAGCACGCGAGGATCGCAGCTGCCGATCGCCTTCGGCTGCGCGCGGCCAGCAGCGTGGTGAAAGGCGTGGCCATGTGGATCTCTGCCGTCGGCGCCGCGCTGGACGGCGCGGACACCACGCACCGAGCGGCGAAGCCAACAAGGCTGCGCCGAAGGCGGTGCTGAAGCAGGCGGCGCCGCCCAGGCTCCAGTGCGATCTGCGCGGGCCTGCAGGAGCCAGGTTGTGCGCGCGGTGCCGCTGGATGGAGAGAGCCAGCGATTGCCTTGGCTCCATCGTGGCTGCCGCCCTGGACTGCAACAAGGCGCTGCCAGCCAAGGGCGAGCTGCCGCACGTGCTGGTGCAGCTGGCCCCGGCCGCGGAGGCAGCGCTGCAGCGAGACATGCCGCTGGTGGCATGCCTGGTGTGCGGGGGGACGGGCGCGGTTCGCAGCAGCTCTTTCGTGAAGTGCTGCGGCGAGCCTGGTGCCAAGGGCATGCTGGCGATCTCCAGGCTCGCCGAGGGGCTGGCGCCTGGCGTGTCGGCACGCGTCGCCGTGGCCATCGAGAAGTTGGACTACGGCTAGTGTCCGCGCAGGCCGCTGCCCTGAGGCGCGCGAAGGGGAGGATGCATCCACGTCCCCTCGTTGCGCCCTCGGTGGCGGCCCCGACCTCCGCTCGTCGTGGCGCTCTACGGTGAGGTCAACCGGGCCATCCTAACCCGTGCCCGTGCGCGGGGGCGCGCGCGGGCGCCTGCGCGGCCGAACGCCCGCGCAGGTGCGCGCTCCTCCTCCTCCTCCTCCTCCTCCTCCTAACGAAGATTCCTAGCAAGTTGATGTCTGCGCCATGTTTTTTGATGTCTGGGTCACTTGTTGTCACCATCCCTCCCTAGACGATAGGACCTTCTTAAACTTGCCTTCCAGGATTGCAGGACTCAATATCTTTCAGGAGTGCCAGGACTTCTTCCAGGATTCCTTCGCGGTGCGCTTGCTGATGCCACAACCGGACAGAATTCCACGACTTCCATGACATTTCTCAGGACTTCTCAGGACTCCAGAGAATCGGGGCATCAGGGCATCCGAGAATCCTTCCAGGACTTAAGACTTACAAGACTTCAGGGCTTCCAGGGCTTGCATCACATAGTTATAGGATTTACAAGATGTTAGGACTCATTCGTTTCAGAACTTACAGGTCTTTCAGGATTCATCCAGAGACTTCCATAACTTCCCGTGGACTCTCCAGGACTTCCAGAACTTCGCTCCAAACATGGAATCCAGTACTTCAGGATTTCCAAGACTTCCAGGACTTGCATGACTTCAGGCTTTCCAGGACTCTAGGACGGACTTGCAACACTGAGTTCAGACTTCCAGGACTTCCATGATTCCAGGACTCACTTCCAATACTTTCAAGACTTCAAGACCTCCAAGGACTTCCAGGATTTGCAGGACTTGCAGTCCTTCCAAGACTTGCACCATTTCAGTGCTTCCAAGACTCCAGGACTCCCAGGACTTCAAGACTCTTCAGGATTTCCAGGACTGCGAGGACTTGCATCCCTAACTTCCCGGACCCCAGGACTCCATTCGTCGTTTCAAGATTTCCAGGACCTTCCAGGATCCTAATTTAGGGTTTCCATGACAGCATGTCTCTGACAGATGAGAGTTTCATGTCGCGTCTGACTAGGCTGAGGGGACGTTGTGTTTGGCTTGGCCGTAGGTGTCCTCTGCCCTTCCAGATCTCTGCTCTGGCCCCCCCCCCTCATCACATCAGACTTGTCGGGCTCCTTTCTTCGCCCTCACCCCCTCTATCCGAGGCCCGCTGTCCAGCCTGTCTCAGCTTCTGGCTCGCTGTTTTCGCTCCCTCGCAATATTCGATAATTCAAAAACAAACCAAACATTAACAAAACAACATAAACTTTAAGACAACCGTCGTGCATGTTGCGAGGACGTCTCTGGCGGGAGCTTCGGCAAGGGCCCCGAGTCAAGAGCGAAGGGAATGTTATCTATGCCATGTTTGTTTTTGGCTTTCTGTTTTGATCAGGAATCATCTGGCTCAAGACATTGCGCCTTTGTTAGATGCTAAAGAGAGCAGTCAGATTTCCACAGTCTCACCCGCGAGCCGGTCCAGTGCTTCCACCTGATGTAAGATACGATCCTTCGCCGAAAGCCAAAGCTAGAAAAACAGAGACACCTACAGCGACATCTTCTCCGCCAAAGAAACCCCCGACACCGAAGAAGCCAGGCCCCCCAGCGCAGCCAGCCGGTAGCATTGTGCTTCCCTCAGACGTGGAGGCAGAGGAACCAGAGCAGCCTGATGATGGTACTATGTATGGGGCAAGCGAGGTACAGCACTTTGATTGTTGTAAGAACCGGTCCGAGAAGTGTTGGCAACCCTTTGCTCCCGAGACAGACCTTGGCCAGAAGCTGAATGCCCTCATCAAAGATTTCAAGGACATGAATCACGATGAGCAGCAGATCTTTCTCTACAACACTTTGCGCGATATGATAAAAAATCCAGTCAATGAGAATAGGGGCAACTTGCAATGGTTATTATTGGGACATCCAGTATGTCGCTACACTTTTCACCAACTGACTGGGTTTTGGCAGGGAAGGGTGGACCCTATTGTGAAGGCAATCAAAGAGGGGGCCCAAGCTCCCCCACCTGACCAGAGGTTCATGACGTCACGGGGGCCTCATCCGGAGGGAGACTTGAGTCCGGCCACGTTGTCAGTGGATGCCACGCTGAACTACATGTATGAGAACATCGCTGAACACCTACCCATTGATGAATATGATCCAGATGGCCCTGGGGACACTGAGAATATGCACGATGATCTAGTGGCCCAAGAGACAGTTTCTGTGGGCCGGAGTGCCCAAGACCCCAAACAGCGGCCTGTTAAATACCTAGAGCACATGACGATGACTGAGTTCTATGACATCTACCTGATGCACTGTGGTATGGTTGCGGACAGCACCGTTGCATCCAAGAAGACTTTCAACAAGGTGTACACAGAGAAGTGGAAAACATGTTTACGTATTCGGGGGATTGCCCAACATGCCAAGTGTTCTACATGCCAGCGTCTCAAACAGGAGCTCAAGAAGTGCGACTCTGTTGCTCAGAAGAATGTGATTGCAGTTGAATACAAAAAACACTTGGATGAACAATTCGCGGATCGTGCTGTGGATTCCCGTTTGAACCTACTTAGTGAGCAGTCGTGCCGCAAAGGCTGCGAGCTGCCATCTCGTATTTTAAAGATAGACATAGACGGGATGGATCAGGCCAAATTTCGGGTCCCGAGAAACATATCTGCCAGCAAGCAATTTGAAGATCTCTGGCGCCCGGCACTTCACGTGACCGGGGCCATCGTTCACGGAGTGGCCGAATTTTTTTTCTTCGGGGATGCGGATATCCGGAAGGATTCGAATGCTCAGGCCACCTTGGTGGCGATGGTCGTGGACGAAGTGGAATCTATCCCTGGTTTGACAACGCCGCCCACCCCCTAGTGATCCAGGATCTGTCGGTCTGTCTGTTCGTCCCTCGCTGTCTCTTGCTCTCTCCCTCTCTCTCTATCACTCTCTCTCTCTCTCTCTCTCTCTCTCTCTCTCTCTTCTGCTCTCTCTCTATATATATTATATATATCGTTCTCTCTCTCCCCTCTCTCCCCCCCTTGTCCCTCCCCCCCTCCGCCTGGCCTACTATTTTGCAACATCTATCCCCCCCCTATCTGTATATTTCTCTACATATCTCTCTTCTCTCTTCTCTCTCCTCTCTCTCTCTTCTCTCTCATCTCTCTCTGTATCGCTCTTTCTCTCTCTCTCTCTCTCTCCCTCTCTCTCTCACCTCTCTCACCTCTCTCCTCGGAGTCTGTATTCCCCGCCAGTTCTCTCGCCTCTCTCTTTCCTCCAGTATCCCTCTCTTCCTCGTCTCTCTCTCTCTCTCTCCCTCTCTCTCTCTCTCTCTGCCTGCCCCCTTCCCACCGCCCGCTCATCCTGCTCCAGCTTCATCCTCCTCCTCCTCCTCTGACTCTCTGTCTGTCTGTGTTCCCTCGTGGGTGGTGATCCAGGTCCAGGTCGGGGGCCAGGGCAGCCCGTGAACAGCAGGACTAGGGAGAGGAGGACAATGAGAAGGACAGCGAAGTATGCCGCCTGACAACTCAGCTGGGGCCGGCTTAGGAGGAGTGGGAGGAGGAGGTAGGAGAAGGAGGTATGACGAGGCAGGGAAAGGAGGAGATAAGGGAGGAGGAGGAAGAGGAGGAGCAGGAGGAGGAGGAGCAGGAGGAGGAGGAGGAAAGAGAGAGGGGAAGTGCCAAGTAACCCACGCCTAATACTCCAACAGCCTGGGGTAGTCCGATACTCAAGGAACGAAATTTGACCCTACCAGAACATTTAGTCATCGGCCAAGACAACACCGCGAGGGAGGGGAAGAACCAGTGGTTCATGGCTTTTCTGAGCTATATGACATTGAAAGGCATCTTCACTAGTTGCATGACCGTCTCTGGCCAAGTAGGCCATACACACAATGGGACGGACCAGCGTTTTGGAACAATGTCATCCATCATCGCACGGAACGATATATTACAATGCCCAGAAGACTTTATGCAGACGGTCCAGGAGCATATGCATGGGGTCCGGGGCAGGAAACTTATCTTGCGCAGGTTGAACGCTACGTGGGACATGCAATCATTCACGGCTGCTATGGATGTTGGCTTCGTTGGCATACACCCAACAGAGAAGGCCCCAGATGTGAACCACTGTTACCGCTTCGTGCGTCGATGTGATCTCGAGCTCTACCAACAACACGTGGACAACCCTTGGGAGATCGGGTGTGATCATTTGGATACCGACCCACACGATGTCATCCTATTGGTTAAACAATGGGTTCACAGCAGCATGCTATCACAGAACCCAGTCTTAGCTGTTGCTCAGAACAAGCTCCC